CATGATATTTATCACAGTTCCAAGTACATATGAATGTTTGTGATTTTGTTATCATTTCTTCCTCCTTCACTACCATGAAATATCCATGAGGGCAGAGATTATTTCTTTTTTTTGCTAATTTTCTATTTCCAGCATAATAGTTGGCCACATAATCTTTTTTAAAGGGAAAAAGAGATATTAGGAGGGAAAAGAAACAGAGTATTATGAGTGTGATAGAAATGGCTGGATATCCACCATAATTCAGCTTTCCCTCCTCCAGAGTAGAACTGTTGCTAAGAAGCAATCTTTGCATCTAGGTAAGAGAATGTAATTAGTTACTGGCAATAGAATGTAGGCAAGAATGGTGTCTCAATCCCAGGCCCAGACTTTTAAGTAACAGATATGCTTTCTCTGTATTTTCCATCATCTTCCACCATGTGAAAAAGACAGCAAGGCCTCAGTGTGAGTCAAAGCCATAAGATGGGTCACTGCATGGAGAAAATAGTATATACAGATCAAAGTATCTTCAATTTAATTGTTATGTAATTAAAAACTAAATTTCTATTATATTAAGCTTCCAACAGTTAGAGGCTTATTGGTATATCAAATAGCATTAGCCCAATGAGTTTACAAATTAGTTATCTTAATGTACTAGCCTTAACAGAAATTGATATATGCATTGGCTTATCAGTTGGAAGCAGGCATACGAGAACAGCTACTTTCAAATAGAAAATTTAAGATGTCTGTAATGCAGTGGCAAAATATTTAATAAAACTATAGCCTACAATAGCTTGAAAGGCAGATCACATGGATTTCAAGCTTACACTTCTAGGGAAATAAATTGAAAGAACAGTATTTAGTGTTGGCTTTTATTTGTATTTAGCAGGGATATTAGTCAGTTTTCACAATGCTGATAAAGACAAACCCAAGATTGGGAAGAAAGAGAGGTTTAATTGGACTTATAGTCCCACATGGCATGGGAGTCCTCAGAATCATAGTGGGAGGCGAAAGGTACTTCTTATATGGTGGCGGAAAGAGAAAAATGAGGAAGAAGCAAAAGTGGAAACCCATGATAAACACATCAGATCTCATGAGACTTATTCACTGTCACGAGAGTAACACGGGAAAGACTGGCCCCTATGATTCAATTATCTTCCCCTGGGTTCCTCTCACAACATGTGGGAAATCTGGGAGATGTAATTCAAGTCGAGATTTGGATGGCGACACAGCCAAACCATATCACAAGGGATTTCAAGAAAGTGGTAAGCTCATATTGAATCAGTCTAATTGTCCATCAACTGATAAATGGATAAAGAAAATGCAGTATGCACACACATATACACTGGTATACTATTCAGCCTTTAAAAAGAAGAAAGTCTTGTCATTTATTATACAACAACATGCATGAACCTGGAAGACATAAAGTTTGATAGGCACAGAAAGACAAATGTCACATAGTCATGCTTACATGTTATATTAGTCTATTTCCACACTGCTATAAAGACACACCCAAGGCTGGTAATTTTTAAAGAAAACAGGTTTTGTTAACTCACAGTTCCTGCATGGTTGGGGAAGTCTCAGGAAACTGACAATCATGGCAGAAGGGGAACAGACACACCTTATGTGGTGGCAGGCACGAGAGAGCAAGCAACAGCAGAAAAAACTGCTTATAAAACCATCAGAACTCATGAGAACTCACTATCAGGAGAAGAGCAAGGGCAAAACCACCCCATGATCCAATCACCTCTCTCTCTCAACAAGTGAGAATTGTCCATCTCTTGACATGTCAGGAATTACAATTCAAGATGAGATTTGGGTGGGGACACAGAGCTAAACAATATCACATGTGGAATCTAAAAATTCCAAACTCATAGAAGCAGAAAACAGAATGGTGGTTGACAGAGGGTTGTTGGGGTATGATAAGAAGAATGCAGAGATGTTGGTCAAAGGGTACAAAGTTTCAGATAGACAGGATGAAAAATTCTGTAGCTCAACTTTACAGCATGATGATTATAACTAATAATATATTATATACTTGAAAACTGCTAAGACAAATTTGTCTTAGGAGAAAAAATCAGTTGTTACATTCAGTAATACCTTACATGATAGTATTTCCAAACTTCAGTCATTCACAGAGCACCCTCATAATTTTTGCAGTATTTGCATGTATTTTATGTTCTTTTCCTTAAATTCATTTTCTCTTCATTTATTTACTCACCATGATAAATGAAAATCCAGTATCATACATGCATGATAGCCTTGCAAATACAGTGAAAATAAAACTCACCATAATAAATGAAAATCCAGTATCATATACTTTACCTGTATGACAGCCTTAAAAAATAGTGAAAATAAAACTCACCACAACAAATAAGTATGTGAAGTCATATGTTAAGTAGCTTAATCTAATCATTCCACAATGTATACATATATGAAAACAGCATGTTGTACCATAAATATCTAAAATTTTTGTCAATTATACCTTAATAAAGCTGGAGAAAAAAGAAAAGGTGAGAAGCTCAGGAAAGAACTCTCTTGCCTATGCAAAGTATATACATTCAAAGAACTCACGCAAGGTCCCACTTTTCTAGAAAATGTTCTGCAAGCACTCCTGGCTTCATGGCTCTTTTCCGTATAGAAATCCTATAGTGTTCTATTACCTGAATATTTATTAACTAAGTACTACGTGCCTACATGAAAATAATCCTTTTTTATTTTCATGTTTAATACTGCAGATATACTTACATGAAAATCTACCTCTTCAATACAAAAATAATCCTGTGAACTTCCCACCAGCTGTACCCTCCAAGGGAAGCCCTGATATTAAGGAATACAGAGATGGGAGTAGGAAGGAATTAAAGTGATTGAAATGCAGTTTTTGGTGGAATTCATTTAAAAAAGAGGGCTCTTAACATCTGTCTTTAAATGAATCAGCCAACTTAGAGCAGGATTAAAGCTACCTTAGGATAAAGATTAGTACTTTCTCTTTATTCTGTATTTGTATAGATTTGGTTTACTTGTTTTCTCTTAATAATATATACATATGTTAGCAATTACTACTGTATGTCAGACAATATGCTAGGTACTACAAATTATTATCAATAAGCAAGATCAGTAGGTCCTTTCATATTGTATATGTGTGTGTATAACAAATACCAATGTATATGATGCATAAATTTTAAATGTCAGGGTGGGGGGCTGGACTAGGTTAATTATGCCAGGTCCACTCTCCGCTAGTGACAGCCTTAAAAAAGAAACAACTCTCTATATAAACACTATACAGCAGCATTCCCAACTTTTTTGGCAGTAGGAACTGGTTTTGTGGAAGACAATTTTTCCACAAACTGGTGGGTAGGGAGATGTTTGGTTTCAGGATGAAACTGTTCTACTTCAGTTCATCAGCCATTAGTTAGATTCTCATAAGGAGGCATACAACATAGATCCCTCATATGCACAAGACAATAGGGTTCACACTCCTATGAAAATCTAATGCTGCCACTGATCTGACAGGAGGTGGGCTCAGGTCATAATGCTCGCTCACCTCCCACTCACCTCCTATGGTGTGGCCCAGTTCCTAACAGACCACAGACCACTACCTGTCTGTGGCCTAGGAGTTGAGGACTCCTGTTATACAGGGACAGCCGTATCTATATAAGTGCTATATTCATAGTCTACACTAGCAGCTCTCAATTATGAATCTTTAGATAGGTGGCAAAAGAGATACATAAGAATCACCCAGAAACTTAGTAAAAATAGAAAATTCCAGTCTTCATTCTCAGCAATTTCAATTTACTACGCTTAGAATAAATTCTTATAAAGTTTCACATAGATGATTCTGACACTGGTAGATTTGTGTCCCTAAACAGTGCTTTGACTCATTATGTAACTGTCCTGTATTTCTTTTTATCATAGTTAAAGTATGACAAAGTATTATGGTATTCAGTACCAGTAGCACAAAACAGTTTAATAAACAATGATATTTTAAGAAAAGCTTTGGTTTTTCTTTTGTTTTGTTTTCCCACATATAATAACACTTATCATCAAGATGCTTTCACTTAGGGACAGAAAGGATAAGCTGTAAGACAGTTCTTCTCAAAATGTAGGACATGGACTACAGGTGATATGGGAAATAATAGGGTACCCAAAATGATTTGAGAAGATATACAAATTATTTTACATGGCACATGAACCTACATGAAATAATACTGAATCACCAGAAAAAAATGTATTATCTTTTCAACTCCATTTGAATACAAAATCCTCAGTTTTAGCTACTGGTATGCCTCTTATACCTCTCTATCATTGATTCTCATTTTAAGAAATGGAGAGCATGTTTCAGACGCATGCGGCCCCCTGAGGCCATTTATCCGGCCCCCCGCCGCACTTCAAGAAGGGGCACCTCTTTGATTGGTGGTCAGTGAGTGGAGCACAGTATGTGGCGGCCCTCCAACGGTCTGAGGGACAGTGAACTGGCCCCCTGTGTAAAAAGTTTGGGGAGGCCTGTTTCAGAGTCTTTAGCAAAACAGTATCTAGCCAAAATTTAGAAACATTGTTTTATTTTTAAGCTTATCATACATGTAAAGCATGTGATATGGGATTTTCATTTATCATGGTGAGTAAACAAACAGAAAGAAAGTAAATTTAAGGAAAAGAGCATAAAATATATGCAAATACTACAAAAATTATGAGGGTGCTCTGTGAATGACTGAAATTTGGAAATATAACATCTAAGGTATTACTGAATATAACAACAGTTTTCTCTCCCTCATGCACACACATAAACATATATTAACATATTCAATAATTAATGCAAATGAACAACCAAATGCCACAAAATAATTTTAGAAAGACATTAAATGTACTGCTTGAGAAAGTAACCAAAATAACATTATATAACAATCATCGTTTTTACATTTTTTACTTAATGAATTTGATAATCCCTACCTGAAATACATATAAGAAATATACTCATGTTGTCTGAAAGACAGAATAATTTATATTCTACAATTCATTCCACATACCTTATAGTCCTTGGGTCGGTAGCAGCCAAGATGAGAATGATCTGAAAAAGGAAGTAGAAAACAATTAAAGTTTTGGGGCTTTACTCATTACTTAAAGAAATCAATTTTCAAGAATCAACTTTTAAGTATTATAATTTCTGTTATACTGACAGAAAAGAAAATAAGAACCAGAGACAATCAGCTTGCACCTTCAAGAGAGTTGATTAGGGGCATTTTGTACTCCCTTCCTCCACTAAGAAAAACCAAAAGAGTGAGTAGATAATCATACATTGAAAAGATCAGCCAAGAGAGACTACTGGAATTCAAAAGAAAATTGACAGGCAACACCTAAAGCAAGGAAGGAGAAGGAAGCAAGATAGCTTGTTCAGTAAGGACTGGTACCCAAGAGATACTTCTCAATATAGAGAAAGAGTAAGTGACAGACTCTCAGCTGTCCACATTATCACCATAGACCCCTGCAATCCCAGCCCACCAAAGAGCCCCTCATCCCTTGTGGGCCCTGAAACTAACATAAGGAGCTCCTGGGAGATTGTACCACAGCACTGCCCAAGAGAGAAAGCTTGCCCTGGGTCCCTCGCGTTCCCTGAGACCTAAGTAGCTATGGCAAGGCACCACTGCAGAACTCCCTCCCCTACAGACTGTGAGCTGTCCTGGAGCCCAGCAGCAGCAAGGCTGAAGTACAAGAGAAGCACAGGCTACTGCCCCTAGGACTTAGCAATAAGCTATCACAAGCTACTGGATGTAGGGCTCTGTTAGTCAATTTTTACACTGCTGATAAAGACATACCCAAGAATGCACAATTTATAAAAGAAAGAGGTTTAATTAGACTTACAGTTCCATGTAGCTGTGAAAGCCTCACAATCATGGCAAAAGGCAAGGAAGTGCAAGTCACATCTTACATGGATGGCAGCAGGCAAAAAGAGAGAGCTTGTGCAAGGGAACTCTTCTTTTAAAATCATCAGATCTCATGAGACTTATTCACTATTACAAGAAAACAGCACAGGAAAGACTTGCCCCCATAATACAATTGCCTCCCTGCAGGCCCCTGCCACAACACATGGGGATTCAAAATGACATTTGGGTGGGGACACAGCCAAATTATATCAAGGGCAGAGACATGACTGACTCTTTGGGACTGCAGCACAAATGAGATAGATTTCTTCCCCCAGTAGACTGTGCACTGTCCTGAAGCCTAGCAGCATTGAGGCTGAGGCATGAGTGCCACTGGGGCTGAGGTACAAGTAGTGTACATGCTCCCCACCTGCCAGCTAGGGTGTCATCACAGACAGCAGCATTGTCCCCAGCTCCAAGTAGCAGGGCAGAAGTACAGATACTACTTCCACAACCCAAGCACCGTGCCAGTGGCCAGGGGAACACTCTGCCCCTGCCTATCACAGCCAGCACGTGTTTACACCATCAGGGAGCCTAAAGCAAACAAGACAGTCCCAACTCTGCCCCTCCTCCTCCCATGTCAGAGCACAGAGTTTGAGGGCCAGAAGACTGCTCAGCCCAGTCCACCACTACTCGCACCTGAACACTCCCCCACAGGGAAAGAAAGTTGGGCCTCTTCTTTTAAAAATGTGATGATTTTTAAAAAGAAGAGCTCCCCTGCACAAGCTCTCTCTTTTTGCCTGCTGCCATCCATGTAAGACGTGACTTGCTCTTCGCTGCCTTGTGCCATGATTGTGAGGCTTCCACAGCCACTACCACCAGAGCCGGCATTTACCTGTACACACCACCTTTAAGCCTGGAGTCTGGCCCACCTAGACAATCTCAGCCACTGTCAAAAACAGTATGCACTACTTGGGACTCAGAGGATCATCCTGCCACTGTCACAGTCATCCCCCATGCCACATTGATTACACAGGGTACCCAGGGGTTTGAGAACCTGTCCATCTCTGCCTGGCCCATGATGGCTACTACTAGCATCTAAGTAGGCCAACTAGAGGCCCATGAATCAGTTCACCAGGACCAGCTAACATTGCCGCCAGCACACACCACTGTGGAGCCCAAGGACAGGTGTGGTCGGCTCACCACTGCCACCACTGGGGCCCAAAGACTACACTACCTAGTGTCCAGTCCTCAGCAAAACTAGAACACAGTCTCCCCTAATAATTGCACACTAAGGCAATGAACAAATCTCAGATACCACTGATGCTGTTTACAAAAAAAAAAAAAAAAATCACAGAGACTATACCACTGCATGACCCCAGAAAAAGGCCAAAGTGCCCTACCCAATCAGTAACAGAGATGCATCTTCAGGAAAAAGTCCACCCATACAAAAGCAATTCAAAAAACTGGAAGAAACAACTGACATACCAAATGTTTGGACATCAATGTAAGGACACAGGAAAAATGAAAAGCAAGGAAATATGACACCTCCAAAGGAACAAAATAATTCTCCCAAAACAGATCCCAATCAAAAAGAAAGTCATTAAATCCCAGAAAAATAATTCAAATTACTGATTCTAAAGACACTCAGTGAGCTATAAGACAATTCTGAAAAATGATATAAAGAAATCAGAAAAACACTGCAGGACATGAATGAAACATTTATCAAGGAGATATGTATCAAAACAGAGACCAAATAGAAATTCTGGAGATGAATTAATTGACTGAACTAAAAAATACATTTGATTTTGTTTTTTTTGTTTGGTTTTTGGTTTTTCGTTTTCTTGAGGCCAAGTCCCACTCTGCCACCCACGCTGGACTGCAGTGGCACGATCTTGACTCACTGCAACCTCCACCTCTTGGGTTCAAGCGCTTCTCCTGCTTCATCCTCCAGAGTAGCTGGGATTACAGGCATGTGCCACCAGACCTACCTAATTTTTTTTCTTTGAGATAGAGTTTTGCTCTTGTTGTCCAGGCTGGAGTGCAATGGTGTAATCTTGGCTAACTGCAACCTCTGCCTCCTGGGTTCAAGCAATTCTCCTGCCTCAGCTTCCCAAGTAACTATTTTTAGTAGAGACAGGGTTTCACCATGTTGGCCAGGCTGGTCTTGAAGTTCTGGCCTCACCTATTGGCCTGCCTCGGCCTCCTAAAGTGCTGGGATTGCAGGCATTAGCCATCAGCCCTGACCTACAAAATACATTTGAAAGCATCAACAATAGACTAGACCAAGCATAAAAACAGAATGTCAGAATTTGAAGACAGGTCTTTTGAAATAACCTGGACAGGCAAAAATAAGAAAAAAGAATGAACAAAGCTTTTGTGATCTATGGGACACCATAAAATGACCAAATATACTAATCATCTGTATCCTCAAAGGAAGAGAATATAAGAGTTCAAAAAACTATTTAATGAAATAATAAACAAAAAACTTCCAAAGTATAGCAAGAGACTTAGACATTCAGATGCAAGGGACCAGTAATCCCTAAGCAGATGCAATACAAAACATATTTCCCATGGAATATTATAGCCAAAATGTCTAAAGTCAAAGACAAAAAAGAATCCTGAACAACAAGAGAAAAGTGACTAGTCACCTATAAAGAAACCCCCATTAGACTAACAGCCTATTTCTAAGTAGACACCTTACAAACCAGGAATGGAAAGTAAGTTCAAAATGCTGAAAGGAAAAAAAAACTGCCAGTCAAGCACATTCACTATTAATATATCCAGAAAAAAAATATCCTTCATAAATTTAGGAAAAATAAAGTATTTCCCATATAAGTCTGAAGGAATTCATCACCAGTAGACCAGCCCTACAAGATGTGATCAAGGGAACTCTAAACCTGAAAGGAAAAGAATGACGTGTATTATTATGAAAATACAAAACTCAATGATAAGGCAAGCACACAAATGAGAAAGAGAAAGGACTCATGGTACAACCACAGATAACCACCAAACCGCAATGACAAACAATAAAAGAAAAAGAAAGGACAAACGAATATATAAAACCACCAGAAAATAACAATATGGCAGGAATAAAACCACACATATCAATAATAAACTTGAATGTAAAACTAAAAATAGAACAACCATACAATCAACAATCTCACCACTGGATATCTATCCAAAGGAAAGGAAATAAGTATATTGAAGAGATATTGCCAGCACTACTCGCAATAGCCAAAATGTGGAATCAACCTAAGTGTTCATCAATAGATGAATGGATAAAAGAAAATGCGGTATATGTAATGGAATAATAAAATAATTAGGGCATAAAATGAATGATATCATGTCATTTGCAGGAACATGAATGGAACTGGGGGATCATTATTTTAAGTGAAATAAATTAGGCATAGAAAGACAAATATTACATGTTCTCAAATGTGAAAGCTAAAAATATTCTGTCACATAAAGTAGAATAATAGATACTAGAGGCTAGGAAGGGTAGGTCGGTAGGGATGGGCAAGGAAGAGCAGTAGCTTTACAGGTGCAAACATAGATTAGAAAAAAGGTATACTCTGTTGTCAAAGGAGAGCATAGGAACTATTGCTAACAAAACGTGCATTTCAAAGTTGCTGGAAGAGAGGACTTAAATTGTTACCAACATTAAGAAATGATAAATACGCAAAGTGATAGACAACTTAACTACCCTCGTTTGATCATCATGCAATCCACACATGTAACAAATATCACAGATACCCAGGAAATATCTAAAATATTATGTATCAATTTTTTAAAAATCAGAACCATAAAATTCTACTTTCTCACTCAAACGTATCAACCAAAAGCATTCTATGTTCTATATTTTACCTTACCAAACCACCTTATCCAGAAAATAAAGACCTACATTAGTCTGTATTCAGCAAATTCTTCAGCATCTTTTTATTGCACAAAATATCTTCCAGGTGCCCTGAACCATACCAGAAATCAGCTGAAATATTAAAGTATTTTGCACAAGGCTAACTTCTCTACATAATGTAAGATTCAATTTACTTCAAATGCTTTTCAAAAATTAAAAATAAGAATAAATCACAGTCCAACTCCTCTTCTGTATGAGTCTAATATGTAGTATAATCACAAGTAGCGGAAAAAATGAAAGAATGAGAAGGACATCTGGACACAGTGCCTCAAACCTGTAGCACTTTGGGAAACCAGGGCGAGAGGATCTCCTGAGTTCAGGAGTTCAAGACCAACCTGGGCATCATGGTGAAACCCAATCTCTACAACAAAAAACAAAAATTAGCTGGGCATGGTGGTGCCTGCATGCCTGTAGTTCCAGCTACTAAGGAAGCTGAGGTGGGAAGATCATTTGAGCCATGGAGGTCAAGGCTGCAGTGAGCCATGTTACATCATGTACTCCAGCCTGGTAACAAAGCAAGACCTTGTCTCATAAAAAAAAAAAAGGACAAGGATATGTTAACTTTGAAAATTAAGGTAATAATTTCTGGAAGTAGTATGTATTTCCTTGCAGCTAGCATTATATTAAAAGTTTCTATATGTTAAAGCACTTGTACAGCTTCTGCATTCCACAAACCATTTATAAACTTCCTGATTTGCACAGGTTTATAATTTTATTTCTACAAATTAATCTATTACTTTGATCTGAGGTTTCCCAATGTTCATATTTAATCACTCTCACCACCAATTAGTCACAAACTGTATTTCAAATGTAAGAAATAAAGGAGATGAATGTCATGGTCCCCGGTTGTGAAGTACTTTTAATCTATTTTGGTTAGGTTATAACCAAAGTTGAACAACAGCAGTATAAAGAACAAACTAAATCAAAATGGTATAACAATTATAATATAAAAAGTTGTACCAGACAGTAATCGCTCAAGGTAAGGCAATCAGGAAAAATTTCCTAAAGGTAAAGAAACCTGACACGGGCATAATCATTTAGAAAAATAGGAAGAAAAAAAAGAAATAGGTCAGATCTTATGTGTATGACTTCAGGCAACTTAATATCCTTCTTTAAACCTCAGGCTTCTTCATCCATAAGAAATTCAAACAAGAGGAATATGTTTAAAAGCAAACAGAAATGAATAAGGTATTTTCTAATGAGGATGTAAATGATGATTACATGTGATTTTATTCAGAAAATATTAAAACATTACCAGTTACTACTGTTTACTCAAGATACGACCTATTAGGACGTGAGATGTTATTTCTATTTTACTCTGTGACAGTTAATCATCTGATAAGGGATTAATGAAAGTTCATAAAATATTACAATTTTATATAGAAATGAGACTCATAAAAGAATCTTCAAATGAAGAGAAGAAGGTTCCACTAAGAGGGGAGACAGTCTAACATGTTTACTAAATTCCTAAGCAAAATGTAAAAAGAGGCCAGGATAATGTCCTGGATTCTCTCTTCAAATACAAAAATAACTAGATAAAGTTTACACAAAGTCTTGCATTACAAGACATACTGAGTTTCTTCAAAAGGACTGCACAGAGAGATACGATGTGCTTGAAAAATTTATTCTAAAAAAATATATTTTAATGAAAGTAGAGAAAGTAGTATGAGACTGGTAGAAAAGAAAGAGCTAGAAGCTAGAAGACCTAGATTCTAGATTGTATCTATCAAGTCACATAACTTCTCTAAACTGCTGCCATTTTTCTCAGTCAAATATACTTAAATCCATCTTCACATGATTATTTTGAGTATTAAAGCAGTAAACGTTGGTGAAAATTACATCCTATAAAAACTCAATAAATATTAGGCAAGACATTTTGGGAAGAAAATATTGAAGAAGAATTTCTATTAAAGCAAAATCAAAAGTGAAAATTCACCATGTGTAAGAAGTCCTTACACCATGTATAAGAAGTTGATAAGAACTGCTCAGCTGTCATCCAAGGAAAGAAATGTAGTAAAAAAATAGAGACATTAAGATCAGGGAAACAAGAAGGAAAAGCTCTAGAAACCCAGCTAATAAATGCACAAAGAGGAATAGAATTTTTAAAAATCACTATTGGGTAAAATTCATAGTAAGAAATTGTTTCAGGCAACAATCAGCAATATATGCTAAAGGAGTCAAAGTTGAGGTATAATAGGGTATTACACAGTTTCAAAATGTCTCCACACAATTACAAAAGACAGAAATAGCACCTTTTTGATGGAGAAAACCAGCACATCCAACTTAATCAAGTGAGTAAAATTAACATCACCAGTAGTGGAGAAACATCACATACCTCTTGGTATGATGCACTGAGAGTAACATATCACACCTGTTGTATTCTGGGGAAAAATAAATAATCTAAATCTAATCATGGGGGGAAAAAATTAAACAGACTTAAATTGAGGAATATTCTACAAAATAGCTGGCTGATGCTCTTCAAAATTATCAATGTCTTTAAGCACGGTAAAAGACTAAGGAACTAATCCATATTAAAGAAAACAAGAGAGACACAGGAGCTGAAAGCTATGTATGATGATATTTCTTTCGCTAGGAAGATATTATTAGGACAACTGGCAAAATCTGATTTAGCTTTATAGATCACTTAATATTATATCATTATTAATTTGCTACTTTGTTAATTAACCTGTGTTAATCACAGAAAATAATGTCTGAATTAGTCTGCTCAGGCTGCCATAACAAAATATCATGGACTAGGTAGCTTAAACAACAGAATTTTATTTCTAACTGTTTATTTCTCACAGTTAGAAATAAAATTCTGAAGTCTGAAAGTTAGAACAGGTTCTGGGAAGTTTTCTCTTCCTCTCTTCTAGACGGCTGCCTTCTAGTTGGGTCCTCACGTGGCAGCAAGAGAAGCTCTCTGGTGTATGTTCTAGCAAGGGCACTAATGTCATCATGAAGGCCCTGTTCTCAGGATCTCATCTAAACCTAATCACTCCCAAAGCCTCTATCTCCAAACCACCATATTAGGAGTTAGGGCTTCAACACATGAACTTTTAGGGAATACAAATTCAATCCATAATAATATCCCTGTTTAAAAAAAAAAGTGTCGTGATTCCTCAAGGATCTAGAAATAGAAATTCCATTTGACCCAGCAATCCCATTACTGAGTATATACCCAAAGGATTATAAATTGTTCTATTATAAAGACACATGCACACGTATGTTCATTGCGGCACTGTTTACAATAACAAAGACCTGGAACCAACCCAAATGCCCATCAGTGATAGACAAAGAAAATGTGGCACACATACACAATGGAATACTATGCAGTCATAAAAAAGGATGAGTTCATGTCCTTTGTAGAGACATGGATGACTATGGTAACCATCATTCTCAGCAAACTAACACAAGAACAGAAAATGAAACATTGCATGTTCTCACTCATAGGCTGGTGTTGAACAATAAGAACACATGGGCACAGGGAGGGGAATGTCACACATTGGGTTCTGATGTGGGGGTGGGGTATAGAGGAGGGACAGCTGGGGGCAGGGAGGTTGGGGAGAGATAACATTAGGAGAAATAGCTGGTAATAGGTGATGACGGAGGGATGGAGACAGCAAACCACCATGGCATGTGTGTATCTATGCAACAATCCTGAACGAGCTGCACATGTACCCCAGAACTTAAAAGTACAATATAATAAAATAAAAAAATCTATAGGCAGACTCATACAAAGACAGAGGAAAGAGAAAAAGTGAAAGAAAAAGCAAATATAATTGTATGGATTCTGAGTGAAAGCTAAATGGCAATTCTTTATACTACTATTACTTTTCCATGAATCTGAAATTACGTGAAAATAAAAATTAAAACAAAAATTAGAAGAAAAAAAAACTCATTATTGATCTCTCTGATTATACCAACTACATAGGCAGTTAACTGCTTTGATTAAAAGTTATTATAAACTACAACAGTTCTGCTGGCAAATATAATTGTCAAGAAAAATCAGGTATGTAAGTGTTCCCAAAAAATCTTCCAAAGAAATATATATATTGAAATTATCTTACATTGGCTTGTTCTTAAATCTCATTTCCCATGTCCATAAGCTTGTTCCAAGAGTAAAAACTGTGTGTAACATCTGTTTCTAATTTCACATAATCTATTATTGTGAATATAAAAAAACTTATTATCACATCTCTCTCCTTGGTAGTGCTAAAAAAAGCATAAACTCTGCATGTTTTCAGAAAAGAATGCTTAATTTTATTTTTTTTAAAATGAGACATTATACACAACAGGTTAGAAATAGAGATGAAGCTCAATGTAATGATTCTATTAGTGATTCTATTTTTTGCATTCTATTTCATTTTTCTTCCTCTATGACTTTCTCATTATGTAGTAAATTAACCTTTAAAGGTTGCTAGAGAATACTTGTTGAATTCACTAAGCAATGTCTAGAGATATTAACACTCAATGCCTTTAATTATGAAATACTATTTAACCTGCTTCATAAAAATGATCTTCCATAGGACTACTAGGGCTAAAGATGAAAAACCATTCTTATCAACACAGTTAAAATTACTTGATGAGAAAAGGGTTCCACAGTCAAGTTTAGAAAATGTTGAGTAAAAGAAAATTAAGTCATTTTTTTACTAGAATATATCACAGTTTTTAACATGTTAATATATATTCTAAATCTCAAAGAGATAATGATTCATAGTAGCACAGAAATCCTAATATTTTATAGAGAGTACCTATATGGGTGCACCACAAGTTGTAAAAAGCTACACTACACGATGTTATCCAATAATGCAACAAGGATTCTGTTTTTGTAAACTAATGCCAAGTTAAAGGCTTGATTATAGCTGAGGCAACTACCACAATGAAGAAAGATAACTTCTAGCTTACCATTGTGAACCCTTGACCATCCATCTCTTTCACAGTCTCTGCCAGAAGATCCAAATAAAGTATCCGCCCTGGGACTCGGGGGATCAACCTAGAGGAAGCAGAATTTTTATGTAAAACAGAGTTTAAACATTCTTAGACTTTCAATCTCATGGCATCAGAAAAACTACTAGAGTACAGAGACCACATATCATAAGGGAAACATGATGGTGTCCGTAAGAGTCAGGCATGTTTCAAAGTAAGAGTTTATCCAAATATTTTGTTATTCATTGCAAAATAAAATTGAAATTAAACCTCAGAAATTTGTAATTATATATGTTTGCCTACTTTAAAATGAACAGATTTGGAATTGAAATGTTTATTACTCCAGTGCCTAGTTTGCTTTCCATCACAAGGTTCAAAAAAAAAAAAAAAAAGAGCAATCTACTTTGCCATATTTTTGAAAGTCTAGCCATTTGCTTCTTATCTCCTTAGTACGCACATTTTGAATTCAAACAGTGTCTTTACTTTGCTGTGTTTAGGTCCAGCGTGTTCAGCGATATATAGCTTATTATTATAATAGCCACATTTTCTAACAAAAAGTAAAAAAAAAAAAAAAAGATACAAATGTGCAAAACAGATATTCCTATTCATCAAAATTTAAAATTTCTGAGCATCAAAGGATATATCAATAGAACGAAAAGGCAACCCACTGAATCAGAGGAAATATTTACAAATCATTTATTTGATAAGGAGTTACTATCCAGAATAAAGAGCCCCTATAATTCAATAACAAAAAAAAGATTTAAAAATGAACTTGAATAGACATTTCTCCAAAGAAGTTATACAAATGCCCAATAAGAACATGAAAAAAAAAGTTCAATATCATTATCATTAAGGAAATCAGAATCAATATCATAGTGAGATACTACTTCACTGTAATTTTGAGATACCATAAAATCATAGTGACATGCCCATTAGAATGGCTATTATGAAAATAAAGTGTTGGAGAAGATGTGAAGAAATTTGAACACTCGCACTTTGCTGGTGTACAATGCAAAATGGTACACCTGCTATAAAAAACAGTATAGCAGTGTCTGAAAAAAATTTAAAACAGAACTACCATATTATTTAACAATTTTTCATCTAGGTATATACCCCAAAGAGTTGAAAGCAGGGCCTCAAAAATATATTTGTATACCCATGTTCACATTATTCACAATGTATACACTGTGACACAGCAACACTACTCATAACATCCAAAAGACGGAAGCAACTCAAGTGTCTGTCGAGAGGTGAATGAACAAACAAATGTAATATAGGCATATAGGAGAATATTATTCAACTGTAAAAGGGAAAGAAATTCTCACATACTATGACATAGATGAAACTTTATGAATATTATACTAAGCAAAACAAGCCAATCACAATGGGACAAATGATCTATAATCACACTTATACGGTTCCAACAATAGTCAAATTCATGGAAACAGAAAGTAGAATGGTAATGGTTGTCAGGGATTGGGGGACACAGGAATGGAAAGTTACTGCTTAATGGGCACAGAGTTTCAGTTTAGCAAGATGAAAAAAGTTCTAGAGATGGATGGTAGTATGGTTGCACAACATAAATATAATTAATGTTTCTAAACTACACACTCAAAGATGGTTAAAATGGTAAATGTTATATATAACCACAATTTTAAAAAAACAAGTTTTTTAAAAAAAGCCAACCCACACAATGGGTGAAATGTGGTAAATAGCCTTACAATAGGATATAATTCAACCATAAAAAGGAATCAAGTATGATATATCCAACTTAGATGAACCTCAAAAACATTGTGATAAGTGAAAAAAGCCAGACACAAAAGGCCAAATATTGTATTATTCTACTTATGCAAAATGGTAGAACAGGCAAATTCACAGAGACAGAAAACAGATTAACGGTTGCCAGGACTATGGGAAGGAAGGAACGGGGAGTGAATGCTTAATTAGTTCAGAGTTTCCATTCAGGGGACGAAGAAGTTCTAGAACCAGATAGCTGCATAACACTGAACATCCTTAAGGCAACTTAATTGTGCACTTTAAATTTGAAATGATAAACTTATGCTATGTGTATTTTACCACAATAAAAAACAAAAAAAGACCTTATTCTGTATGAATGGAAAATAAAAAAGCTGTTTAACTCCTCTAGGATAATTGCACCAGTTTCTCTGGAAGAATGCTAATTGATTTCTTAAAATTGTTTCCTATTCTTTAAGATTACTTTTCATACCATATACATTGACTACAATGTCTTTCCTAAAGTGTTACATTTTGCATATGCATGTATTAAGTTAAAATTGTGTTTGGTTACCAATTTGCTAAGCGCTTCTAAAACCATGAATGGCTACAGAGAAAAGAAAAGGTCTGGAATGCTGGGAAGATGGCCGCCTAAGAACAGCTCAGGACTTCAGCTCCCAGTGAAAGTGCAGAGGGTGAGTGAACGCCGCATTTACAGACGAACTGTTATTGCCCACAGACCAGGAGATACCCAGGCAGAGGGGTCGCCAGTGTCGCAGTCCCAGCCGGTGTGGCTGTTTTGGCCCCTGTGGGGCTGATTCCGCCCGCGCGGCTGCTGTGACCACTCCCTGTTGCTGCGGTTCTCCGTACAAAAACCACTGGTCTGGGAGCCCTCTTAGCTGACGAGCAGAGACCTGAGACGGCAGAGTGGGCCATTCATCTGAAATAGCGAGTCAGGCCAGGAGATTCCTAGGCAGAAAATCCACCAGGAGCCGGCGCCGCAGTCCGAGCCGACTCCGTGAGTCGCAGTACGGGAGATCCCGGCGCCTTTTCAACAAGCGACCGGAACTCGGGGTCGTTCAACTTAAAAGAAAAGACTCGGAGTCAGGGAGCCAGGTGATCAGGCTCGGTTGGTCCCAGCCTTCCACCCCCAACAACAACCAAAACAAAAACAGTAATTGGAAACCCTCTGGGTTGAGCCCTTCAAACCAAGCACAGCTGAACCTGGACGGCCCGGCTCGGTGGGGGAGGGGCTTCCGCCATTACTGAGACTCTCCACCGCTACGGAGGCAGGCTGCCATTGCCGAGGCAACCTCCCACAACAGAGAGAGTCCGCCATAACAGAGGCGGGGCCACCATTGCCGAGACAGTTCTAACTACTCCCATATAAAAAGGACTACAGGGAAGAGCTCAGGGCAGCTGGGCGGAGCCCACAGCAGCTCAGCAAAGCCCCTGCGGGCAGGCAGTGGCTAGGCGTGCTGCTAGCTGGGCGGGTCAGACCTGAAAGAAAAATCAAAAAAAGGCAGTAGTGCAACGGAAACTCATAAAGCTCCAACTCCCTGGGACAGAGACAGACAACAGGTGGATAAACCCACAAAAATGGGAAGAAACCAGCGTAAAAAGGATGAAAACTCCCGAAACCAGAACACCTCTCCTCCTAAAAGGGATCACAACTCCTCACCAGCAAGGGAACCAGACTGGATGGAGAAGGAGAGTGATGAAATGACAGAATCAGACTTCAGAAGGTGGGTAGTTAGAAACTACAGCGAGCTAAAAGAACATGTTCTAACCGCACGCAAAGAAAATAGGAACCTTGAAAAAAGATTGGACGAACTGCTGACGAGAATGGACAGCATAGAGAGGAGTATAAGTGAATTGATGGAGCTGAAAAACGCAACGCGAGAACTTCGTGAAGCATGCACAAGCTTCAACAGCCGAATTGACCAAGCAGAAGAAAGGATATCAGAGGTTGAAGATCAACTCAATGAAATAAAAAGAGAAGGCAAGAACAGAGAAAAAAGCGCAAAAAGGAATGAACAAAATCTTCAAGAAATGTGGGACTATGTGAAAAGACCTAATCTACGTCTGATAGGTGTACCTGAATGTGATGAAGAGAATGAATCCAAGCTGGAAAATACTCTTCAGGATATTATCCGGGAAAACTTCCCCAACCTAGCAAGGCAGACCAATATTCAAATCCAGGAAATACAGAGAACACCACAAAGATATTCCGCAAGAAGAGCAACCCCAAGGCACATAATCGTCAGATTCACCAAGGTTGAAATGAAAGAGAAAATGCTAAGGGCAGCCAGAGAGAAAGGTCAGGTTACCCACAAAGGGAAGCCCATTAGACTCACAGCAGATCTCTCAGCAGAAACCCTACAAGCCAGAAGAGATTGGGGGCCAATATTCAACATCCTTAAAGAAAAGAACTTTCAACCCAGAATCTCCTATCCAGCCAAACTAAGCTTCATAAGTGAAGGAAAAATAAAATCCTTTGTGAACAAGCAAGCGCTCAGAGATTTCATCACCACCAAACCTGCTCTACAAGAACTCCTGAAAGAGGCTCTACACTTATAAAGGAACAACCAGTACCAGGCACTCCAAAAACACACCAAATGGTAAAAGAGCATCGACACAATCAAGAATCTGCATCAACTAACTAACAAAACAGCCAGGTAGCATCAAAATGAGAGTATCAAAATCACACATAACAATACTATCCCTAAATGTCAATGGACTAAATGCCCCAATCAAAAGACACAGACTGGCAAACTGGATAAAAAGCCAAAACCCATCAGTGTGCTGTATCCAGGAAACCCATCTTACATGCAAGGATACACAAAGGCTCAAAATAAAGGGATGGAGGAAGATCTACCAAGCAAATGGAGAGCAAAAAAAGGCAGGAGTTGCAACTCTCATCTCGGATAAAATAGACTTTAAAGCAACAAAGATCAAAAGAGACAAAGAAGGACATTACATAATGGTAAAAGGATCACTGCAACAAGAAGAGCTAACTGATCCTAAATATATACGCACCCAATACAGGAGCACCCAGATACATAAGGCAAGTTCTCAATGACCTACAAAGAGACTTAGACTCCCACACAATAATAGTGGGAGACTTTAACACCCCACTGTCAATATTAGACAGATCATCCAGACAGAAAATCAACAAGGATATCCAGGACCTGAACTCAGACCTGGAACTAAGCAAACCTAATAGACATTTACAGAACTCTCCACCCCAAATCCACAGAATATACATTCTTCTCAGCACCACATCACACCTACTCTAAAATTGACCACATAATTGGCAGTAAATCACTCCTC